AGATTAATGATCTTTGAAATGCTGGCTTTCATTTCTCTTTCATTTGGGAATGTTATTTTGCGAAGATCTCATGAAAATGTATAGAATTTAATTCAACAGCACGCTAAAACTGACAAAACATATGGAAAATGATATTTGGAGGCCAATATGATCGACAGAAAGAATTTAAAATCCACTTAACATATTTCAAACAATTAATGCAGGCTAATCTGTTTAAATGATTTGTTTATAAATAAACTGACGAAGAGAAAACTATGTATTCATAAAGATGTCTTTTTAAGCAGACTTAGATATTCATACATACAAAACACCCATATGTTTTTATTTTTCCTGTTTGCTCAAACAATGGCTACAACAAACATCACAGCTGGGGTCATAATGTTCAACTATTATGACGTTGGAATTCTCGGGTATGTCGAGGTGGTGTAATGGTTAGCAAGATTGTCTCGCTAGAACAATTACGACTTAATAGTGAGTTCCATTCTCACTGGGTGCCCCATACTTTCGGCCTTGTACCACATCTAAACTATGCTTTGAAAATAAGTATGATGTGGACATTCCGCATCAAGTCCTTTTCGACAACCTTTCCAGCTATTCTTTTATAATCGAAGAATTCGCAGAAGCAACCTTTTCATCATTAAACATTCTTCCCAAAATACTTTTGCTCATTCTGATGGAACTGACAGCCATGTTTGCAAGGTTATGTGATTTTGAAAGTCATCCTTATAAGAGTGTTTATATTTCTGAGATGCGGTATTATGTACACTATTTACATTATTTGGACTATTGTCCTCATCTTTGTGGCCATATTTATTACAACGTTTCAGCAGTTGTACGTGCGGAACTTCTTCAGTCCTCAAGACCCCATAGCTGAGTGGATAAAGGCGTTGGTTAAATCCAGTGAGAGGACCCAAAGAGTGTGGGTTCAATAACCGATTAAGGCAGTGGAGAACTTTCAGAGGGAAATTAACAGAAGATAACTGAAAACTGACATCCATTAAAGCATGGCACGTGGAACTAGAACAGTCTACCCCAGTAGGCGAAATAAAGGTTTCAGTTCGACATTTCAACATCCCCCTGAAGAAGGCCGGGGCGTACAACGGCAGAAACGTTGTAATAAATATGGCAACAAAGATGAGGACAATAGTCCGAATAATGTAAATAGTATACATCCATATAACGCTCCTTTGGTCGCTTACTGTTACCGAGCTCGCTAAAAAAATGGTTGAATAGTTTAAACATTATAAAAACAAAAGTCGTAAGGATAGAAAAGGTAAGTTTCACAAGTATACCAACTTTTTGTGAAAGGTTTTAAAATTTGGCCCAATGTAAAGCACAACTAATGATATCTTTCTATAATGGATAGTGATGGTTATCGCGGGTGGTGGTGATGATGATTTTGGTGGGGGTAGTGGTGATTTTTGTGGTGATGGTGTCGGTGATGAAAACAGAATGGGAATGACCTCCCTAAATATTTCAATATTATCGAAGTTACTTCATAATGACGCTATGACCTATCAATCGTCAATTATTTTTCACTTCAAACTAAGTTGTTAAAAACATCAATATCGCATTCATTGTAAATATTGAAAAGATTCAATCCTTGAATACTTTTATAGATCGGGAATTTTTCTACTTCGCGATACACAATACATAGGGAAAATAAGAAATAAAAAAATCACGACCCTCCCACGCACAACCAGAATCAGTAACCATGATAATGGCTATTGTTTCAGAAAAAGCTGTCTACATGAAATCTTTGAATAAATTCGACCCGCGCATGAAGTCTCACTTCACTATAAATATCACACACACACACACACGCGCGCGCGCACACACACACACACACACACACACACACACACACACACACACATATATATATATATATATATATATATATATATATATACTAGCAGCATGGTCCGGCGTTGCTCGTACTTGATTCAAAAATCGTACGACTCATACAGCAATCGCTATCACTTGACTTAAAATATCTTTGCCCTTCCTTGTCTTTAAAGGAGTGCCCTTTTCCATGCTGATGTTGCTACATGCCTTACCTCTTGCCTATCTCACACTGAGAATTTTTTCTAAGCTCTATATTAAACATTAAATCTGTTACGAAAAAAGAACTAAGCAAAATGAATACAAAACAATCAGGTTTAAAAAAAGGACTCGTAACTCGAAAAACCGAATGAAAAAGGAATGTTAACATAAATACTTTTTCACACCCAACCCAGTTCTGCGGAATCCGAATCAACGTTGAGTTTAAGCAAGAGAATGAGCCAATTGGAGTAAAGTGCCATGCAGATTTAAATTTTTCCCACTTGTGACGAATGAAGCTATAGGCTCTCACTCTGACCAGTACAAAATAGCCGCAAACTACTTGAAAACTGCCGTAGAAGCATGAAAATATCGATTATTTCCACTATCGATGAAAGTTGGGTAATGAAAAGTTGGTATTGGCCTTCCCGTTAATTTGGGCATGTGCATGTATATGTTAGTGCAAATCCGTCGAAAATTGCGGCCGTGCATTCGTTACACACACACACGCACACAAACATTCTGCCTTTTATAGATAGAGATTAGCTCGAGATTTAGTGTTGGTTCTTAATTCTCTCAGATCGTTGAGACGATTCTTTTCAAAGTTAGTTAAACCTTGTTGGCAGGTGTTTCACCAGTTTGCTCAGTTTTCAACTTCAAGTTGGAACGCGTCTATAGGGATGTTTGCAGGATTTTAATTGTATTTGATTTTGTCCTTGAAGCGTAACAAAGGAAGGCCTCTATTACGCTTACCATGAAAAATATGCTATACATGATGATTTTCGGCATCCGATCATCACTTATTCTGATAAGATATTAAATATATATATGTAGTTAGATAGATAGATAGATAGATAGATCTGTCCAAGGTCGAACTCAGTTCATATCTCTTCTCTATTTATCGCAAAATATCCATTATCTAACTATTTAACAACACATTCCGATCATCGGGCTAGCGATGTAATTATTGGGATCATATCCTCTGTCTCAAGTGCTTTCCCGGGTCTTATGGTACACTAAGTTAACCCAAATAATTATCAATGAATCGCAGATATGCGAAAAGTAGAAGATACTCTAAGAGGAACCGTTCTGTTTTAAATACTAAATTGAATATTCTCATCCTGATAATATCAAGTCTAAAACTTTACAAATTCCTGAATAAAGAATATATAACAGGAAATAACAAAAAATAATATGACGAAAAAAGAATAAATTACGCTAGAAAAAATAGAAAGAAAAATGGCATAATGTAGTAAATCGAAATATGAAAAGGGAATATTGAAAAAAATAATAAAAATAAATAAAGAAAACGTACGAAAAGAAAAGGGTTTAGAAAAATAAAATTGATTAAAAGATTAAAATAAAATTTCAATGTTAGAAATTCTATGAAAGTAAAAACTTGTTTTTATAAATTAATTTCCGTGTGTATTTCTTTTTCCCTGTTTTCTTCTTTCATTTTTTTCACGCAGTCTCGGTTTTCAGCAGACGAAAGAAATAAACAGGGAATCAATAACAGAGGAAAAACCAAGTTTAAATAATGTCAATAAAAAATGTTTGTCTTTATTCATCAGCGTTTTAGACTTCATCAAATACATTTGAGTGGGATTCATTTTGCTTCAATTTTATCGTTTCAATCTTCTTCTTTCTCTTCCAAGCTTCTTACTTCTTCTCGTCTCTTTCTTTCTTTCTTTCTTTCTTTCTTCCTTCCTTTCTTTCTTTTTTCTTTCATAATTTATTTCTTCCGTTTGTTTCTTCGTTCGTTTGTTAAATTATTTTCCAATTTATTTTCATATTTCTATCTTTTTTCTTCCTTCGTTTCTTTATTTCTTTCTTTTGTATTTCATGGTTCGTTGTTTCTTTCGTTGATGTTTTATTTCTCTGCCATTTTTCTCTTTGTCTTTATACTTCTTAAATTTATTTTTCTTCTTTTATTTACTTTTGTTGTTTTATTCTCTTATTGTTCTATTTAATAAACTAAAAATGGGATTCCAATTGAAGAGTTTATTTATTTATATCTATCTTTTTTTCCTTTCTCGTTATTTATTTCTCATTTTTTTCTTTTTCTATTTTTAAGCAGTTTCATTTATTTCTTCTCTTTCTAATTTTTCCTTTCCCTTTTCCTTCTTTTTTAGTTTTTTTCTTTCTTTTATATTTCTCATAAAACCTGTTTTATTTCCTTGCTTTTGTGACGTCGCCCCGATCCCTCCGCGCCTGTCGCCGTACTATCCTGTGACGACCAATGTGACTTGGTATTGGTCGCGGCACCAAATGTGACGTTCTAACCATTGGCTGATTCGGATGGGAATCTGTTTAGATTCGGTATCAGCTTTGTCGTTCCCAGCTCGCCTCCAACGTCTGGTTACCAAAGTAACTGCTTTGATTTCTAGTCTAACCTACCCACGTTGTGATTTGATCTTAGGTAGACGAAATCAATCAGTCGCCGGGCCGTAATGCAAGCCGAATTCGAGCAAAGGTAACACCGCACAAGTATATGTAAAAGAAAATAAAGTAACAGAAAATAAAGTCACAACTCGAAAAGTTCAAACGTGTTAAAAAAGAATAACAATTATTTTTATATCTGGTTGCTGAATACAGGACTGCTTGTTTCTCCCAAACCGCTAATATGGATTCGTGACACTTTGTGTTTGTTAGGCGAGTCTTAATATCTTAAGTTTTTTTTTTTTTTTTTTTTTTTTTTTAAGAAACTGTTTTTTTCTGTATCTTCAGGCGATATTCGTAAAACTTGTTTTGGTGGTGTGAGTCTAAATCGTTCTTCAAAAATAAATTGTTTTTGGTTAGAAGTTGAAGTCGGGATGCGTTGATCTTCAGTCAGCTTCCTGCGAGGCTGGTCTCAGAGCTCAACAGCTTCAACTGCAACTAACTTCTCTCTCTGACTGAAATTCCAACTACTGGCTAACTCGCTGCGACTCTGCTTATATGGACGCCGACCAAAACCGGATGTTGGGTTGTCGTGGTTTGGGATTCCTCGATAATTCTAAATCCACAATAAGGATTTTCTTTGTTTTCGGACAGGAAAATGTATTACTTTCTATTTTTGGAAGTCCATTACTTTCTGTTTTAAGGGGATCGTCCTCCCAAATTTTTTCTTTCTCATATTGGTATCTCACACCAATCCCCTCAGAGGCGTCAACAGGCCTCCCCTCCTTCTCATATGCTTACCTTCGCCTACTGCTCACGCCACCATTCAGCCAATGAACGCTCAGCAGCGTGGTTGTGGCTAGACTGGCCTCAGTTCAAAAAGTATCGCTCAAAGGAGAAAAAACATTATCTTACATTATTTTTCTTTTCTTCTTTCTCTCTTTTCGACATTAAACCCCTACGACTCGTAGTGTGGTACTTAATCTATATCTTAACCCAAAGCCACCTGGACTTTATCAACCGAGATTTCCGCCAGCGTCAAGTGGGTGGTTAACTGGACGTATTCGCATTCTGTATCCAATTATCCATTCCAATAATAAACTTTTATCATGTCCAGGTTTGGACAATAAAACAGGTGGTCTCTTTCCAAAAACAATAACATCTCCGAAAGATAGTTAATGGTTTATTCTTTCCCTCTCTCTCTTGGGTGGCCCAGCCGATGTTTTTCTCGGTCAGTGCGTGACCTGATTAATATTATCTCCCAGCTTCTGTTTCGTAGGCCACTTGACCAATTTGAAATTTTCATTATTGCCATGGTCAGATGGCTATCTTTTATTCGTCGCCTCGTAACCTAAATTAATTCGACAGATCCGAGATCTTACGAATTTCCTATCTTCGGCAAAAGAAAAACATACTTTTTCTTTTCGCAAAGGAAAATAAAACCTTTACCAATTTTCTTTGTTAAAAAAAAATAACATCGCTCAGTATGTCTTTTCGTGATAGCTTCTTATCGCCTTAATTATTTCAGCTTCTTCTCGCCTTAATTATTTCTCGCTTTTCATTTTCACGCGACCGCTAAATAGTCTCACACTTTCATGTTTTTCTTTTTCTGATCGATTATTTTGTTGACCATTTGTCGTCATTTTATTGGTAATATATCTTTTTGCCTGTCTTTACATCATGTCTCTGCCTTTCTTTATATTATGTCTTTTTGCCTGTATTTATATTATGTCTTTTTGCCTTTCTTTATATTATGTCTTTTTGCCTTTCTTTATGTTATATTTTTTTGCCTTTAGTTTTAAATTTATTATCGTCTTGCTTAATCTTCTCTCGATTTGTTGATGCTTCTTCTTTGATATTTTTTAGTCATTTCCTCGTATGAAAGGCAATAAAGCCACTAAGACGCAAGGGGCTTACTGAGTGTGAGAGATATGTGTAAAAGAATAATACCATAATCAATAAGATAGTACAATAAAGGAAGATGAATTAAGAATAGAGAAAAATAACGATTGACATTGCATTTAAATTAATTTCAAAATTGATTGGAAAGCAAAACACCATAATACAGTTTCAAAAGCAAGAAGTGCAATAGAAGAAAGCGTTAACTTAAAACTTACGGCTGCATGTAATCATTTCTAATGTAAATTGGCCCATTTGGCGCCAATATTGTACTTCGATGAAATTATGTTTTTTTTTACATATTACTTTTTATTTATCTTTTTCTGATATCATAAATTTAAACAGGAAATTTCACTGTTGATTCATATTGACACAAATTTACTGAGAAGGAAATTTTATAAGAATATTTAGCAGATCAAAATGAGCAAAGCTTTTCACTGATTTAAGTGGCCCCTGAAAATGTCTCGGATGTAAATATATTTTTCTCTAAGGAAATAGAGCGTGCAATATTTCTACATATCTTTCGCAATTTCCAGCATATTTTCAAAATTTATTTCACCCTTCCGTGTATTCCTTCTGAACCATTCTCTTTCTGTTATTTGTCCTAAGTTATTTGGTTTCGCCTGATTCTTTTAAATTATTTTCCCCTCTATATTTCATTCTATATTTCATATTATTTTTTATATCTACTTTTCTATCTTCTTTTAATATTTTAATTTGCGTTTCAAACGGAAAATCACTTCACTTCCCGTTCGACACTTCTTTTCCTTTCTCTCTTTTAGTTTCCGTTTTCTTACCATTTCTTTTATTTCTTTTTATATTCACATCTGCCAAAGCGTATTTTATCCGGCATCCCTACACGTACCTTCTTATATTCCCTGTATATATATATATATATATATATATATATATATATATATATATATATATATATATATATGGTTTTGAGAAATGTTATTTTGAACCAAAACTAAGCTATCATGAAGGCAGGGCCAGTGCATCTGTCAGTTACACAGTTGCATGCCATTCATAACGATGAATGAATGCTTAGCAGTCTCTAATTTCGCTAACTTTATTTGCATAGGCGAAGTGTGTGAGTTACTTTAGCAATTATTGACGACAGAGAAAAATTCACAGTGTCACGAAGAAAATTCTTTGTCAATATCATCATACAATTCATTTACATTTAAAAGAAATTCTATGCGAATCATGAACATAAGTACGCCACTATACAGACAGAAGCATACTCACACTCACACATACACACACATCTATCTATCTATCTATCTATCTATCTATCTATCTATCTATCTAGGCAGGATGTCTATGCGTGTGTGTAACGAATTCACGGCCGCACTTTTCGACGGATTTGTACCAAAATTTAGATGCACATGCTCCAAGTTAGCGGGAAGGCCAAGACCGACATTGCATTTCCCAACTCCCATCGATAGTGGAAATAATCGATTTTTTCATGCTTCTACGGCAGTTTTCATGTAGTTTGCGGCCATTTTGTACTGGCCAGATTGAGAGCCTATAGCTAGCTCCCACGAATAGACAGGAAGATTCTATTGGCCAGCGTGAGAATCAACAGCTGACTGACACAAATGTTAACTAGCATGCTAGCATGCAAAAAAATCGATAGCTGCATTCTGCCAACATGTCTTCAGCTGTTCAATGCCCTCAATGAACTCGGGGGGTTTTGACGCAAAGAAGTCCGTGAGGGCTTTGCGCAACTCTGTTTCATTGGTGAAGGATTTCCTATGAAGATGATTATCCAGGGAGTGGAAGAGGTAGTAATCAGGTGGCGCAAGGTCAGGTGAATAAGGTGGATGGCACAAAGTCTCCCACCCAAGTTGCTGTATGGTATCACTGACCACTCACGCGACATGCGGCCTGGCGTTGTCATGGAGGAAAAGCACACCTTTGCGATTCACCAGTGATGGCTCCTTCTGGCGCAATGCTTGTTGCATACTTTTCAATTGCTGCGAGTATATGTCTCTAGTGACCATTTGGCCCGTTGGTAGCAGTTTATAATGAAACACTTGACGACCTGTCCACCAGGCAAAAAACATAATCTTGCGTGGATGCATAGGCGGTCTTGCGGTGTGAGGGACAGCATCCCGAGGAGACAGCCAATGTCTGGAAAGCTTGTTAGTTTCGTTCAGAAACAACTTTTCATCCCTGGTACGCACTCGATTGAATAATGATGCGGTACGGTGGCGAGAAAACAGCGATACGCAGGCTGCCACTCGTTGTCTCTTGTGGACCTCCAACAGCGTATGCGGAACCCACTTGCTCAGTTTGTACGTTTTACATAGGCGGTGCAGGTGAAGTCTAACTGTTTCATCGGAAACATTGAACTGTCTTGCAAGTTTACCACACGTTAGACTACTGTCCTCTCCAATGGCCGCCTTCAGGACTCCGTCATTCAAGACCTGTTTTCGTCCACTGCGAGGCTCATCATGGAGAGACAAATCTCCCGACTTGAATTTTCGAAACCAACGCCTTGCTGTACTTTCATCCATAGCACTATCCCCAAACGCTTGACATATACGGCGACTTGATGCAGCTGCTGATAAGCTCACTTTGAAGTTGTAAAGCAAACAGCCCCGAACGAGATCTCTAGACACTTCCATCCTTCTCACAGCCACCCGGCTTATAACTTATGGCCGGGCATGATGCGCGTGTTTTTATAACGTCTGATGTTCCAAATTCCGGCTCTCCGAATTTGAAAACAATTGCTACACGCATTTCGTAGATGTTTTAACTTCATTCAATGACTAATCAGACAAACGGACAGAACTTTTTTGGTTACCTTGTCTATATATATATATATATATATATGCATGTATGTATGTATGTATGTATGTGTGGTGTGTGTGTCAGTACGTGTGTGTGTTGTACGACACATAAAAACACAAACTGATCTAGAAAACACTCATAAGTCGAAAACGGGGGGGATACAATTATATATATATATATATATAATTATATATATATATATATATATATATATATATATATATATATATATATTTATATATATGAGGGGGGGCTGCGTGTGTGTGTCTGTGTGCACACGACTGTGAACAGAGAGAGACAGGCAAGGAAAACCAGAGATATGTAGGTATGGACCGGTTGAGATAAATACGGAGATGAACAGTGACATGTACGAAAACATTAAGGTTTACCACGGTTTTCACCATGTAAAAGGTCCAAGAGCCATTCGATGTAAACGGTTACATATTAAGAGCCACAGTTTATGGTTGTACTTGCAGAAAATTACGGTTAACTCTAGACTTGAAGAGGTTAAGATTCCAGTGATCGGATAAGCATCCTCTTGGCAGTTGGTTCCACAAAGCAGCGGTTCGTTCTAAGAAGCCGCTCGAGGGGAATTTCTCACTAATGGAATACGAAGGGAATGAGTGTGGTGTGCTTTAATAAGTATAGCATGATGGGTCTTAGACCTGAATGTTAGAACTGCTGGAACTAATGTATACTGTTGAATGGGCGCTTACATGGAAATAGCGATAGTGAAGTTAGAGGCTTGCGACGTTTCCATAGTGAGGAAAGGGTTATGGGTTAGAAAATAATTTGTTATTCACAAGGATTCGGTAACACTTTTCGATTCTATCGAGACAGGAAATTGAAAATTGGCTGATCCTGCCAATATATGGAAGACCTACTCCATTTTAGGCCTGACGACATGCTTAGAATAATAGTATGTTTTTTTTCTGATTTTGTTTTATTTTTTTTATTTTTTACATTACATTAGATATTACGAGCAGGTTTTTCTCCTATTTAGAGTTGATCGACGTCTCAAAATATATAAAAAAAACTTTTTATAAGAATTCTATAATTAATCTGAAAACTTTTCTTCACCTCCACATACATCAAATGAAAATATTCCTTCTCATTTTTTATCTGTGATATTTGTTAATTTCTTTCCTGCAAAAAGATTTACGAGATGCTTTCATAATATCTGCCAACAAAATGTGCGTATCAAAACACGCCTAATACTGCCGCAGTGCCGGTAATCGTAACATGACACGGCCTGTGCTTGAGACTTACTCCTCATCGTCCGGTTTCAGTCCGTCGCTCCAATCCTATTTATCTTACGTTAATCAGTATAGTTACGATAGGCTGCCTCGCAGAAAATGATTACTGTTCTGCCATATCATATAGCTATTTAGTTTAACTTTATTGAATAGGAACAGCCCCAGACATGCGTCCGCACACACTATAGATATGTATATAAAGGGGCAACATAGAAAAAGAACATTTTTAACAACGTCTTTCGCCGATATGTATCAGGTTTGGTTTCTTTGGTAAGAATGAGAGACAAAATGTAAATGCGTTGTGGATAAAAGAGGCGACAATATGAATTAAATTATCAGATCCTACAAATATATCCCGGAGAGAGTTTGAGGAATCGGAGAGCTGAGTTCGAATTCCAGTCAAATCATTTACATTGACTGACTTGTTAATAAAATTGGAAAGGTATTAATCTTCTTCTCTCACCAGCTATGGCTAAGTAGCAGGGTTCTATAGACTTGTATGGCAACTGGTCAAGGAGAAGAACAAGTCTGGATTCAAAACCTGCAGAGAGCCGTTTAGAGACCTTGTGGAACGCAGTGGACGAGGTCTTTTTATTTGTGTGGTTGGTTCTGCACAAAGCCTTCACCACTATTATCAAAACTTATGTGCTGATGTCTGGCTGTTGGTTCCTAGGAACTGAGCTCCTTGCCCCTCATTGGTCGAATACGACGGAAGAGTCCACCACACACACACACACACAGACACAGACACAGACACACACACACACACACACACACATATATATATATATATATATATATATATATATATATGGTGGACTCTCCTGGATTTACATTGTGCTCTACCCATACGGTTTGCCTATTTTTTCATAAATTATATATATATATATATATATATATATATATATATATATATATATATATATATATGGCATTCAGTTCAAAAGCCAGCGTCAACAGTCTGTTTAATACTTAAAAGCAACCGTCATGTCCTGAGGATAGCATGAAACGGACAGCCGCTTCGTTGCTGGGTGTTGTTCTCCATGTCCATTATATATATATATATATATATATATATATATATATATATATATATATAATCTTATAAATATAAGTAAGTATACTAGTCCGGAAAAACCTTACTATCCGCGTAGGTGAAACCTAGGTAGGTTTGCCTGTCTCTTTAGCATTATTGTTATACACACACACACACACACACACATATATATATATATATATATATATATATATATATATATATATTGAATATTTTGAATTTTCATTCAGGCCACCTTCTGTTTTTCTTCCCTACTAGCTTGTATACCGCGTTTGTTACTATTGCTTTTGTAATGTTCGGTGTTATTATGTATGGTTCTGGTCCTCGGTTTATTACTAAGAATTGTTATATTAGCCCACAGTCAATATATTTTTTCTTAGTGAATCATTTTCTTTCCATATCAGCCTTGCCTTTATTAAATCAAAATTATAATTCTTCTGGCGAGAATTTCGACTTAATAAATACTACTCTTATTGAAGAGACAAATGCCCTCGAGTTATTCAAAAAACAAAATTGCTTTCTACTAGGTAGGGTCACTAAGGATATAATTTCCCCATTAAGACACCGACAGAAGAAATGCATAGAACAACAAATACCATTGTACCTGCTTATCTTGGATCTAACCACAACTATTGACATCGTAAATTGCGATGCATTCTGAAAGATGCTTGGTAAGATTGGACGTCATTCCACATTTTTCAGCTTAGGGAAAAAGTTATATATTAATATGAAAGCTCGTTTCAATTTCAGATGAGATTGCAGTGGAAAATAGTATAAAGGAATGTGATATTGTTGAACCCACACTATTCTGAGTTTATTTTGTGCTGCTCTTATCACATGCCTTCGAGTAATGTGAAGCGTGAATTAACTTGAGATTTAGACTATCATAAAGTTTGTTCCATCTAAGATTTGCAACTCATAATGGATCATTTCTCTGCCTCTTGTGATGCTTTTGGTTTGAGGATTAACCTAAGGGAGAAAAAAGGGATGCTCACCTCTCAACCGGGTTTTTACTACAAAGAGCCAACCATAATTGGGGAAAAATACCAGGCTGAAATTTATTGACTCTTTCACCTTATTTAGAAGTGCTATATCAAAGGACAGCGTCCTGGGTGCTGTAAGTGTTCCACATGTTCAAACGGAAAGTGTTGCATTTTTCAAACTAGAATGTGCTTAGATACGGGCATTATTGTCAAGACT